ATCTGCCCCTGGGAGGTGAGCGAGGGAGCCCCTGAGAAGGAGGCATTACGACAAGATCTAGATGACACTCAAGAGAGAGGGAAAGCCTCAGGAAAGCCAGAGCCCCAAAATGTGGTTGTTGCTCGGAAAAAGCCAGAGAGGCTGGTCAGAGGACAGGAGGCCATATGTCCCTGGGAGGGTACCGATCCTGGGAGTCAGTCCCCTCGGTCAGCCTCTCAGGGCTCTGATAGAGCCAAGGGCAAGTCTGAGGCAGTGGGCAGAACAGAAGCTAGAGGGATGGAGAAGCATCAGCAGGAAGCCATTGGCCCCGAAGTTCGTCCACCTGACATTGCAGAGCTCTGCCCCTGGGAAGCATGTGAGGGAAAGAATGGGAAACCATTCCAGGAGGGAGTGAAGAAGCTTCCCCAGGAAAAGCAGGAAACCTCCAAGAAAGCTATTTTCTGGAAAGAACAGAAACTGAGTGGAGACTTGGAGTCTTTTTGTCCATGGGAGAGGACAGATTTCCGGGGTCCCTCAGCAGTCTCTACCCCAGTCCTGGGAACCGCAGGGTGCTCCGGGAGCTTGGGCAGTAGCATCTCGGAGGTGTGTCCATGGGAGTCAGGAGATGCTCCTATCAGGAAAGCAGAGATCTGTCCCTGGGAGCTGGGTGATGAGGTAGCAGGAAAGGAAATGCTAAGTCAGGGGACAAGTGGAGAATTTCTCCAGGAAAAGGGGAAGGCCTCCAGAAAAGGGCTCTTTGGAGAGATGGGAGAACAAACTGGGAAGGCAGTGGAGAAAAGTCATCAACAGCAGGAGTCAGTGTGTCCCCCAGAGAGTAGAGCTCTTGGGCCCTCCAGCCCACGTCTAGATAATTCCTCAGCCAATGTTGGTGGCCAACTCCTTAGCAATGGAGGAAGAGCAACACAGGTAGGTCCCCAGAGAGATTCCAGGCCAGAGCTAAAGGAAGTAACACCTGCCAGGGCAGAACTCTGTCCCTGGGAGGTAAATGAAAGAATAAGAGAGGACTGGACAACGGGCCAGACAACAAAAGCAGGAGAATCTCAAAAGGATGTGGAGAAAGCACCTGGAACATCAGGGATGAGAGATGGCACACCTTGGGAAAAGCCCAAGGAACAGATCCCAAAGCAGGAAGCAGTCTGTCCTTGGGAGAACGTGGACCCTGGCAGCTTCTCCCCACAGCCGGGCCCTCAAGACACAGATGGACCCAAAGCCAGTTTTCACACATCAGGCAAGGTGGGCAGCAAAACTGCTGAGGTCTGTCCATGGGATACGGAGGACACTGTGCCTGCCGAGAAGGCTGAGGTCTGTCCCTGGGAGGTGAGTGCTGGAGCAAGGCAGGAAAGGGCTTTGGGAGTTGAGGCCACTAGGAAATTTCCAAATGACACAGGAAAGGCTTTTGTGGGTCCCGGACCCAGTGAGACAGCTGTTACTGCTTTGAAGATGCCAGAGAGGCCAGCCTGGGAGCGAGAGGTGGCCTGTCCCTGGGAAAGCTTGGATCCAGGCAGCTCCTCTTGGCATTCTGACACTCTGGGCACTGACAGACCAAAAGCTGGATTCCAGGAGCTGGACCGGGTGGGCTGCAGGGCAGCTGAGGTGTGTCCCTGGGAAGTGGAGGAAGCACCTACCAGTGAGAAAGCCAAGATCTGTCCCTGGGAGGTGAATGAAGGAGCTCCTGGGATGGGATTGGAACAAAAGAGCGGGGGTGACTCAGCAAGGCAGGGGGAGAAAACTCTAGAAAAGGAGAGACTCACCTCCTCCGCCGGAGAAGATATATCAAATCAGGAGACAAAACAGAGTCAAGAGCAGGAAGCTATTTGTCCTTGGGAGGACTTGAGGGAACCCCCTGCTCAGGGTGCTGAGGTCTCAGACTCGTCCCTCAGCATGAGTAGCAAGGTGGCAGACGGATGTTCCTTGGAGGTAAGGAATAAGGCAGCAGAGAAAGGGGACCTGACACAAGACCCAAAGATGGGCTCCCTCCCACAACACAAAACCCCAGACAAAGCTTCATCTTCAACGGCAGGAGAATTCACTACTGAAAATGAGAGGGAAGCAAGCCACGAGCTACAATCGATCTGTCCATGGGAAAGTGGGGACCCAGCCAGTGCTTTCTCCCCCCCAGACAGTCAGTGCCGTAACCTACCTAAAGCTGGCTCTCAGGGACTGGCTGAGGTGTGCCCGTGGGATGCTCCCACACCTGACAGCAGCGCCAAAGCGGAGATCTGCCCCTGGGAGGTAACTGAAGGAGTCCCTGACGAAGTAATGGCAAGCCAAGACAGAAAAGGAAAACCTCCAGAGGAGAAAGAGAAAGCCCCAGGAAGACCAGAGCCCAAAGCTGTGGCAGCTCAAGAAAAGCCAGAGAGGGCTGATGGGAGAAAGGAGGCAGTGTGTCCCTGGGAGAGGCAAGATTGTGGGGCTCCGTCTCCACAGCCAGTTCCACGAGCTGCTGACAGAAGCATAGGCAGTTCTGAGGTGGCAGGCAGTGTGGGGGCCAAGGTGGCAGAAGTGTGTCCGTGGGAAGCAGAAGAGGCTCTGGCTAAAGCAGTGGAAATCTGCCCTTGCGAGATGAATGAAGAAGCCACAGAGAAAGGGAGACTTGAGCAAGAGGTGGACAGTAAATCCCCAGGACAGGGAGAAATCTTTCAAAAGATAGCACCTGAAGGGACTGAAGAACACTTCCTCAAAGCAGCAGAAGTCAGCAGAGAGCAGGAGACAGTCTGCCCCTGGGAAGATGCAAGTTCAGGGGCACCTGTCCCCCAGCCAGATGCTCCAAATGCTTGCCCACCCAAAGGCAGTCCCCATGGAGCAAGCGGTATGGTGAGCAGGATGGCAGAGCTGTGTCAATGGGAAGTCACAGATCCAGAAGGAAATAAGATAAGGGGCACCATGGCAGACATTTGTGATTGGGAGGGACCTGGAGCCCCCTCTGAGGAATTTGGCCTTTTGGCTTTACCAGCAACTCGGACAGAAATATTTTTCCCCACGGCCCCTGAGAACCCACCATGCCTTTTAGTCCACAGACCTGCAGGCAGCTTACTTCCAGAAAGCAAAAGCCCCCGCCCTGAGGCGAGCAAGGTACCCACCACTTTTACTCCGGAAGGTGCCAGAGAGCTCCAAGGAACTTCAGGACATGGGCCGAGGACTGGCTCAGCCCCAGAACTGAGTCTCCAAGAAGCTGAAGCTCAGGAACCCTCCCTCTTAACTGAAGACCAAGGACAAGTGGCTTCTACAGCTCTACATGAGCAACTCTCCCCTCCAACTGTCTATCCTTGGGACTGCGAGTAACAAATCCATCAGGTGAGGTCAAATGTCAAGTGGCTGGTTTTCAGGAGCCAAGGTCCCTTCCAAGTCCTACACGTTCCCAAAGAGCTCAGGCGGAGACACGTGGCCACTTCCCCTTTCCAACAAGGCCAGAAGTTGACTCATTCCAAAAACAAGACTGTACAAGACAGGAGTGGCTTGGACCCCCACACAAAGTCTCACCCTCTCTTTACTTCCCACTCTGATTCCTGCTCCAGCAAGCAAAGGCCAGACCCTCTGCTTCTAAATAATCCTCCCATCCAGTTAGAGGACTCGACACAAGCTGTGTCTGGATACCCACTTGTAAAGCAAATGTTAAGGATGAAAGAAGTCAGCAGGCCCAGCCCACGTTTTCTCATAAGGAGACCCCCTTTTCTGACCACTTCTTGAGAAGAAATGAACCCATTGAGGTACTGGCAACATTAGAGACTGAAGAGGGCCATCAAAGTCACAGCTTTGGGCAGCTTGAGAAGCTGCTTAATTCAAGTTCAAAGATAAGTCAGGGGAAAACTTAAATGGCTCAGGAGGGGCCTGAAATGCCTTAATGACCTTGCTGTTTGGACTCTGGATCCTGCCTGGACTCTGGATTCCTGCAGTATTGATCCACATACCTGCCCTGCTTGGCTGCTGATGGAGAGCGATCAAGCACCCTAACTTCCTAATCAATGTCTGGCCCAAAGCAACACCAGAGACAGCACAAAGAGGAGAGGCAGCGTCTCCTAGTCCCCCTCACACTGGCCAAGCGGAAGCCCTCCCTTCTAGACACCCTCTCCAGTCTAAGGAGTGTGCCCCTTGCTAGCTTTTTCAGATGGCTCCTCCCTACTTCTGCCCCATCTTTTCCATCTGTAGTTCACCTCACTGGCTCATTTTCCTGCCAAGGTCTGAGGGCAGAGGGATGGGCATCACGGAAACACAGAGCCTTCTTAGTGGGCTAAGTTCTATCCTCTCCAGTCAGTTCAGGCTACCTTGCTTAAGTGGTCCTAAGGAACAGTGCTGGAATGAAGATGCTATCAGAGAGAGCTGAGGAAGGCGAAAAGCACTGGTCAATGAAGTCCTGGCATTGGCAGATGTGAGGTGGGAGGGGGAAACAGGCAGACTAAACATGGCAGAGCTTGGCAGGGGCCCTGAGGATGGCAGTCAGCCCACCCTCTAACTGCCCAGATCCTGATGCCATTCACAGGGAAGAAAAAGACAAAACAAGGAGACCAAATACCCAATGGGAAAAAAATGAGTCTGCACATAAATACTCTGGGCAGCTTCAGGACTGCCAGAAAAGTAGCAAAATGCTCCATTTCCAAAAAACAAGGAATGGAAAAACCCCAGCCGTTCTGGAACCAGATGCCCTTGTTCTCATATCTAGCCCCTCCCACCTACCTGGTCCCTTGCCCTGGGATTTCAGAGCAGTAATTAAAGTGTACTGTTGCTCTGGGCTCTGGCTAGTTAACCTCACCGCTGAGAATTTTGCTAAGCACACATCAGAACAATTCCATTGGGTCGAGTCTAGCTCGGAACAGAAAAGTTGTTCCTAAAACCCCTGTTGTGAAATAAACCATGGGGAAAAAAATAAAGAGTGCTTTTCCTTGACCACTGCAGTTAGTTCTAGCTTATTCATTATAATGATCTTCTTTTTCCAATGTTTTTATTTATGTATTTATTTACTTACTTATATTTATTTATTCATTCATAAGAGACAGAGGCAGAGACACAGGCAGAGGGAGAAGCAGGCACCATGCAGGGAGGCTGACATGGGACTCGATCTAGGGTCTCCAGGATCATACCCTGGGCCAAATGCAAGCGCTAAACCGCTGAGCCACCCAGGCTGCCCTTTTTCCAATGTTTTTAAATGGGAACAGTAGATGGGTAAGGAAACAAGCACAAGCCTGAGGTAACTACACTATGGCCTTCAGGACTTTGGGGTGTTCTAATTCTCACCCAGTCCCCAGCTCCGTGGCTGGCACTGCAGATGGTCTCTGCCTGGCCCTTCAAGCCAATCCTTTATATCTGGGCCATTTGCTCAGCTGGATTTGATCCCAAGGGGAAATGAAAATTGCATTTATCCTCTGGCTCTCCCGTGGCAGCTACTGCTTAGCAGCTATTCAGGATTATCTGGAGACAGATCTAGGGGAGTGTGAGGAAACAGCTTATTTGAAGTACTGTTTTTACATATTCAGGGAAATCAATCGGTCATGTGCCCAGTGAGGGTGCTCTTTTCATTCTCTGCTTCCCTCCCCTCCCTGGATTACTTCCCCTTACTCCATACTCCCCAGCTGTGGATCCTGCTGAAAGCACTTGCCTTCTCATTTTGCCTTAATCCAGGGCTCAGGCAAATAGGATGTGGCCGAACCTCACTTCAGCAGAAATGCTGCAAACTGATGTACATTTTAAGCCAAATGGGTTGAGATGTAAGTAGTATGATAAAGAGTGGCTGCCCTGGATTAACCCACCAGTGCTCAATCTTCCTTGGGAAGACACATCTTGTTCCCATAGTCTGCATTTAGCAGCTGTTGTAAAAACATTCGTTTTCCCCAGTGAGGACTGATTTGTTGGCTGCTTTGCTGAGATGGTAGTTTTAGAGAGACTGAGGAGTTAGGTGGTTCTTCTTTTCTTTTTTTTTAATTAACTTATCTGAGAGAGAGCAAATGAGCGAGAGAGTGTGCGTAGGGCGAGGGACAGAGAGAATCCCAAGAAGACTCCCCACTGAGTATGGAACCCAACTTGGGGCTTGATCCCAGGACCCCAAGAATGACCTAAGCCAAAATCAAGAGTTGGATGCACAACTGACAGAGCCACTCAGGCTCCCCAAGAACTTAGGTTATTCTTGACCTGATTCTAGTTTCTTTGGATTCTGCTCTCAGGAAAAGGTCAGAACAGATTAATCCTGATCCTAAGAGACAGACTCATTAAACGAAAATTCGGGGCTGGAAAAACAACACATGAGAATTAAGGTCCTGTTTTTCAGGGCAGCCCACATTGGGTTGATGAAAGTAATAGTACAAGCCACGCTTGCTGCTGGTACAGAGTGATTTCCCTTGTCATACCTCAGATCACCCTGGACACTCAAGCAGGTAAAGTCCCATAGCCTCCTCCTGACAGCCCAGTGAGAGCTCAGGAACAAGGAGGGGCAAGGTTGCTTCACTCTAAACAGGTTCATATTCTAGTGTTTGCCTTACTACCAATGGGGGGCTGGAAAGAAGAGTCCTCATCTCCAAGAGGTGCTAGAAATCAGGGAATAAAGTCTTACAGATGGATTTCCCAAATGCATGACCTCTTCTGTTGGCCTCTGCCTCCTCCGCTTCCTGAGACCACACCAGGATGCAATTGATAATTAAGAACACAATCCAAAGGCTGAAGGATGATTTCTTTGCACTTACATTCTTCTATGAAATACAAATGCTGATTAGGTGAGTCAGTATGTGAGAAAAGACCTTGAATCTTCAATGAACATGCATTATTTTTCCCAAGTCTGGATTTATTGGAAGCCACATAATTCACAGTTCAGCCCATCTTCCAATTCTGCTCTCTGAAGGCTGGTCTACTTCTAGCCTAAGCTGGGGAGAAGTACATAACCCACCACAGTGTGTCCAATACCCTGACAGTGTTTTATTTCAAACTCTGATCCCTGCCTATAATTAAAAAGAAAATTCTGCCAGTTTGCTCCTGACGGTCTCTGCTACAGGAAAAATAGGTATCTGAAACATACTTTTGTTGAGACTCAAAAGCTAGATATACAATTTAAATAGGACGAAGTGGGCTTATGGCTGTATGTATTAGCCAGCCACCCACCTGGACCCAGCCATCAGCCGTGGTTGTGGAGGAGACAGCTGGAAACACCCAAGCAGGAGAGGAAAGGTCAAACATAGATGCTTCTACAGCATGATGGAGAGATGACTGACTTCACAGCTTCCAGACTCCATAGCATCCAGCCACCTCATCACCATGCTTCAATCCGAGGAGTCATTTATGCCACCAGGATAGCTAAAGTTTATGGGCCTCTCCTTGTGGTTCTTCATAGTCTTCCCAGGGTTTCAGCTGGGGCCCAGGGATCATCACCGTCTGAAAGAACAGGAAGCTGAGTTAGCTACCATCCAAGCCTATGACTTACCCAGAAGATTCACCCTCACCTCTCCTCCATGGATGATGCATGCCCCTTCCCTGCTGCTGCATCACCCCCTCTCTCCACTAGGTGGAACACAACAGGAGTGGCTTAAGATTGCACAAGCACTCCCCTAGCTCTCTTAAATCTAGTCTTACCTTAAGGATGGGCTGCTTATGGGGTGCCCATGGAGGGGTGATCTTGCCATGCATTCTCCAGCTCCCATAGGGATTTACCAGGTGCTTTTCAAACACAACATACTCCAGGACATCCCTGGGCACATCTTCCTGTCCATACATTAGCCGGCCAAACCGGTCATAGATGGCTAGAGTCTGCCAGGATGAAAGCAAATCTGGCCTGTTAGTACTCAGAGTTGGTTTTCTTGTTTTGCTTTTATTTTTATTATTTTTTAATGCCATACAACCATTTTAAAACAACATACTAAGAATTTCTAGTGGGTAGAAAAAAAAATCAATTCAGAATTCTGAATCTAGACTAATTCAATGATCGACTACTGACACTTTACTCTTGGAGGGTTTTTGACTCAGGATGAGGAAGTGGGGGAGGGAGGATCAGGAAGGGTGGAAGAGAGTATCCTCACATCAGTCTCAGGAGAGTTAACATCTAGCAGTGAGAAGGGCATGCTAACCAAGCAAGGAAGACCATGGTGAACCTTTCCTTAAGAGCCCACAGTCTTGGGAAGCTGTACCCATGACTCCAGAGATAGACACCCAACCTGAGAGCGAAGAAAAGCTAGGAGGAAAACAGAATGGGTCGTCTACCTGTCGGGTGTGCAAGCGGACAGTGACCTGGCCGTATATGTTGCCCTGGTTCAGCAGATTCGAACAGCGAACCTGAACCACCTGGGGTGGCTCTAAAGATTCTACAAAGCTCCAGCGGACTGTCTTATACTTGATGTCCCAGACCATGTCCTGAGGGCAGAGGAGAACAAAGTCAGTTGGGGTTTTCCTTTCCTTTAGGAAAGCTGTGCTTCCTTCCACACCTGTTCTCACTTCCAGCGCTACTACAACTGTCATGCAACATTTCCCACCAAACACTTTCTTGTGCCTGTTTCTTCTCTCCTCCCCAAGTTTTGAACAAGCTGTTGCTTAAGCCCACTTTGAAATGACCCTTTTCATCCAAATCAACAACTCAAGACCTACCTTCTTGAGGAACCTTCTCCAAATCAGTGAAAACCACACTCCAAACTGCCAGTTTATCTAATATGCCATTACTCCCCTTACACTTTAAAATTTTTTTTCTTTTACAGATTTGATTTTTAAGTACTCTTTACACCCAACATGGAGCTCGAACTTACAACCCCGAGATCAAGAGTTGCATGCTCTACTGAGTCGGCTGGGCACCCCTCCCTTACATTTTTATAACCTGCTAGTCGTTGCACATTTCTGTTGACTGCATATACGTTTGTTTTATCCTCCCCATGGCTGCTAGTACTGAAGAATGGGATTTTACAGGGATCTAACGGCTAACCTTCAAGGACCAGATGAGTTATATATGATTCTAGGGAGATGAGCTGAACTGACAGAAATTTATTCTTTAACCGTAAGTCCCAATATCAGGGAATCTCCCCAAGTACCCAGCACCCTGGTTAACACATGTGAACACCTGCTAAGTCCTTTCTTACACTGGAGGTGCACACAGGGCACCCTGACTTCAGCCTCCATACCCCAAGGACTCAGTACGGCTTGCTGTGGAACTTCCTCCTTCCTCGGCTGCATGGCCCTTACCAAAGCCCAAGTCAAGTCAGTATCATTTAGCCAAAACCAATGGAACCACAGCTTTTGCCTTGAACTTCCTGCATTTGCGAAACTGATCCTTCTTAGGAAACCAGAGGTGATGTCTAGAATCGGCTCATTCAGGCCTCCAACAGTCCTAAGGAGGTTAGGACCTACCGGAAAACAGTTTTCAGTTACCAAGGTATGAAGCCGGTCATGGTCTGAGCTAAAAAAGAAAAAGATATATATCACTGGCTCTTGTTTTAGGGTTTCCCTGATGGAAGATGAAAATGGCCCTCAGAATAAACAACAATTCCTTTTTACAAACATTTTCTACATGCCTACAATAAGCCAGGTAATATGCTAAGTCCTGAGTACACAAAGATGAACATGATAAAAGACCCTGAGATCTAATTCCAGAGTAAAGTTATGGTCGCTTGTCAGGAGCAGAAATAAATTTCTCAGAAATTACCATACATCCTTAGGAAGGGCAAGAGACCTTCAGGAATCCATCACAAAAGATCAAAAGCTCATCTTATCTCCTCTTACCTCAGACATATCAGCATTAGCAACTGGATTGTGGATTGGCCTTGCACCTAACACTTTTTTTTTTTTTTTAAATAATCTCACCCTCCATGTGGGGCTCAAACTCACAACCCTGAATATCAAGAGTCACATGCTCCACTGACTGAGCCAGCCAGGCACCTCACATCTTACACTCCTATCTGTGAACCTAGCTAAAAGATAAGCAGCCATCTTTTCTGGTTCTTTCCTTCCACTTCCTGCCACCCCTATTGCCCCCTCAATCTTTGCTGCTATCAGAGTGACCTGGTCATGCTGATTCTATGCAGTAACAGTAAGAAAACAGACAGCAAACCCCAGCTCTTGGACATACAGGATTTTAAAAGGTTCCTGAGGGGCTTCAAATAAACCTAAGGTCATGCATGAATTAGTGTCTTTCAGATACACATTCATGACTCTTCCCTACAGTTTAATACCTCCTGACAAGTCTTTTGTTTGTTTTGCTTTTTAAAAAAGATTTTATTTATTCATGAGAGTCACACAGCGAGAGAGAGAGAGAGAGAGAGGCAGAGACACAGGCAGAGGGAGAAGCAGGCTCCATGCAGAAAGTCCAACGTGGGACTCGATCCTGGGACTCTGGGATCATGCTCTGAGCCAAAGGCAGACCTCAACCGCTGAGCCACCCAGGTGTCCCAAGTTTAAGTCTTTGTTCCTTCAAACAATCTTGTCTCTAATCCCAGAGTAGGTAGGAATTAGTTCTGTCCATGTGCTTCCCTTGCACCTCTGCTCCTAACAGAAGAGATTCCAAGTCATTTCCCCCACTATAGCTCTAGACTAGACTAGACTAGACTAGACTAGACTAGACTAACCTGACTGGTGGTGACAGCTACCACGGCCACCAGGCCTGGCACCTCTCAATGAACCCTTCCTCTTCACTATCCTGGCCTAGAGATCTTCAATAGCAATAAATTTCCTGTCTAGGAGTTCACTTACAATTTACAATAAAAATTACACTTAAAAATAAAAGGAAGACATCCATTTCTGGCAACACAATGGACTGAGCTCATGTGAAACTACTCCTGATATAAACATTTAGAAATGTTGGACAGAATATACACGGACACACATACATTTTTAAAGGCTCTAGCCTAGCCCACAAGAAAGGTAAATTTCCTAGATGCCAAAAGGAAAGAGAATTAAAGCCAGAATGGAAAGAATACAACCTGACATCAAGACAACATATGGGATGACTAAAGGGATCTAGAAATAGGATCTGATGGCTAGGAACAGATTCTTCCTAAATTCTTGAACCCTCAAAGAACAGGGAGTTGGCACTGAGATCCTTCCACAAAGCTCTGACCCTCAAGAATCCTGCACTTGCAGCAAACGGAGACTACAAAAATAGCTGAGAGATAAAGCTTCTCTATATCTAAGGGGAGACTAAAAAAATTGAAGTTCTAAACCAACATTATACTCAGACGTGGACATAGAATTTATGATACCTGTATGATTTAAGAATTCCTAAGATACAAAATTAACTTTAAACACTGAACCTGGGGCAGCCCGGCTGGCTCAGCAGTTTAGCGCTGCCTTCAGCCCAGGGCGTGATCCTGGAGATCCAGGATCGAGTCCCACGTCCGGCTCTCTGCGTGGAGCCTACTTCTTCCTCTGCCTGTGTCTCTGCCCGCCCTCCCCCCACCCCCCGTGTCTCTCATGAATAAATAAAATCTCTAAACAAAAAAAATAATAATAATAAAAATAAAAACTGAACCTGGGGTGCCTGACTCACACACACACACCTAGACCTATTTAGGTCACTCTAAAACTCTTAACCAAAGAGGGGAAAAGTCTGTGCCTAGAGTAACAGCTACTGAAAACAACAGGTTTAAGATAAAATTCACTTACTTGTTTAGACAAAGGTGAGCTTCAATAAAAATATCCTTAGCTTTTTCGGGGAAGTCCTTTATTTTAAAATTAGGATCATGTTCTCTTATCTTCCGGATTCTGTAAAATTAAGTATGAGAATCTTCTTTTTTTTCGTTTTTTAAAGTAATCTCTATGCCCAACACAGGGCTTGAACTCACGACCCCAAGATCAAAAGTCATATGCTCTACTAACTAAGCCAACCAGGTGCCTCAAGAATCATTTTTAAACACTTTACACAATATCTTTAACTTGAAGCTTACATTAACTGTCATTCAAGTCTGTCCTTGTATTCAATAATTATTTTCTGAATGTGCCAAGTCCTGTAAATTCAACCTTCTAACTCACATTTAATCATTCTAAAAAAAGACAAAGGCTTCTCATTCTGCCAATTTCAGAATTTTGGCATTGAAGAAAACATCCTTTCAGCACTAAGAAAGAAAATACAGGTTTTACACAAAAGCTCAAGACTCAGAATGATATCAGGCTTCTAACTAGAAACATTAAAAGTTAGTTGCTATTAATTGAGGAAATTATTTTTAGCTCAGAATTCTACACCTGGGCAAATTATAAATGAAGTAGGAGAGTGAAAGTTTTTCTTAGACTCAACTGCTGAGCCAGCCAGGCGTCCCAATCTGACACCTTCTTTACATTCTTTCCACTCAGAGCCTTGCTTGTGCTGTTTTGTCTCCCTAGAATGCTATTCCTCACCCCTCTACTTAGCTAACTGCAAGCAATCCTTTAGGTCCTAGCTTTAAATGTCATTTCCTCCGGGAAGCTTTCCCTGAACTCCCAGACCAAGTTATCTTTCCCTATCATGTGATCCCATAACACTCATACTTCACCACACCTGTAATTATGTAATTGTGTGCAATCGGTATTTAATGGCTGTTTTCCTCTCCTAAATGATAACTCCATGATAAAACCACATGTGTTTTATTCATCATCATCATGGACCCTACCACCAAAGAGCTCACAGTCCCAGAGAGAAATATATGAGAGGTAATCATCGCAGGACATTACCAGAAATAGTAAGTGCACAGTTACAATTACAGTAAAGGCAGCTCCAAAAAGAGTCAGGGAAGGCTTAAAAGCAGACATGATGCTCAACTGATTCTTGAAAAATGAGGTGGAGTTATCAAGGAGGAGGAAAAAGACATTTTTAGGCAAAGGAAAGAATGTACAAAGACACAGAGTCATAGCACAATACTGTCAAGGAACTGGCAATTACTTTGGAAATATTGAAGTTTAGGATGAGAAAAATGGAATAAGATGACAACAGTGGAAGGAAGAACCAGATTTACAAAAAGCTGTGAATACTACTTAAGTTTGGATTTTATTCTTTAGGTAATAACTTATTTTTTTAAAGATTTTATTTATTGGAGATCGCTGGGTGGCTCAGCGGTTTAGTGCCTGCCTTTGGCCCAGGGCGTGATCCTGGAGTCTCGGGATCGAGTCCCACGTCGGGCTCCCGGCATGGAGCCTGCTTCTCTCTCCTCCTGTGTCTCTGCCTCTCTCTCTCTCTCTATCATGAATAAATAAATAAAGCTTTAAAAAAATAAAGATTTATCTATTTGACAGAGAGGGAGAGAGGGATCACAAGCAGGGGGAGCAGCAGGCAGAGGGAGAGGGAGAAGCAGGCTCCCCGCTAAGCTGGGGGCCCGATGTAGAGCTCAATCCCAGGACCTCAGGATCATGACCCCAGCCAAAGGCAGACACTTAAGTGACTGAGCCACTCAGGTGCCCCATATTCTTCAGGTTATAGGGAGTCACAAAAGAGGTTTAACGGAAAGGTAATATGTTAAAATCTGTAATTAGAGAAATGAGTTATGGCTACATGAATAATTAATATGCAGAAACATATTGAGTCATTATAAACAACTCGAAGAGCCTTTGAGTGATAAATACTAAATGTTTCCATCCTTTCAACTAAAAGAGAGACTAGGAAGGTTTTGGTTTTTGCTCCTTAGTTATGACCTAATTAGCTCCATAGAATAGGTCTGTCTTTTTTACTCTTTTTGGCTTTTTATTCTCTGTAGTTCAAACTCTAAGGTTCTTCCTATATAAATATGCTTATTATTTTAAATTTTAAAATATGTGATCAAAAAATGTTCTACAAACTTCTAAGTCGCCTCCCTGATATGACAAAAAATACCAATGAAGGCTGAGATGCTGAAAATCAAAATGCCCATATTCTTCTACATTGACTAATCTCAATTATAGAAAAAAATATACTGTCAAGTTATCAAGGGACTTATGTCCAACCCAATTCACCTAAGATGGCCTCTTTGGAATAAAATAGCTACAAGAAATTTTTATTTTAATATCAATTCCCAGTTGTCTCAGACACCTACGACAATTGTGATGCCACCTTCTTCTTCAGTTGTTCACTTCTCTGTGCTAGTCCTTCCTTTGCAAGAGATGACAAGCGAGCATCACCCTCTGGAGGAACATAGGCATCAAAGATACCAGCTGTAATGAAAGAAGAAAACAAGAGAGCATTGAACTGAGAAAAAGTCATCTTGAGGTCATATGAAATTGAGATGTATCCTGGCTATAAAGTAGACTTCCACATAGAGGGAACTGTTTTACATTAGAAAAAACAGAATAAGGTAATTTAAGTCTTCTCTCAGAGCCTTAATTTCTTGTACAAAATGCAGAAATTTCACCCTTGCCTTCTAGGAACAGGTGTGAACACAAAATCAAAGATGACCTCATTAGGGGCATCTGGGTGGCTCTGGTCTCAGGGTCCTGGGATCTAGCACCAGTTGGGCTCCTTGCTCAGTGGGGAGTCTGCTTCTCTGTCTCCCCCTGCCCCTCCCCCACCACCTGTGCTAGTGCCTTCGCATGCTCCTTGTCTCTCAAATAAATAAATCTTTTAAAATATACGATGTACATAAAGTAAATGATCATTGGGGCTGAGTTAGTTAAATACAGTCAATCACAGCCCAAATCACTCCATTTCCAGAATATCTGTGACAGAAGGAGATTTGGTCAGGGTCTCAGAAATACCATGCCTCACCTGTACAGGCCAGATGTAGTGGACGCTCCAAACGTTCTGGAGGAATGACCAGTCCTGCTTTCCGGGCATATTCCATAAACTCCTTTTCTGATTTGTATTTGGGTTTATAAGTAGGAGGTGTGAAACGTTTTTTAGTTCTCACTGGAACTACAACTGTGGACTGAGTCACCAGGACAGGCTGTAAGACAGGAAAAGGTTAGGATAAAGGTAATCTGGAAAGAAATCTATCCTGAACAAACTCTAAGCAAAGATAGAAAGGGCACATCCAAAGAACGGCTTCGGAACAATTATAAAGCCACATATCAGGAGGGAAATACTCACAGGTGTCTTAACTAGAAGCCCCTAAGCAGCCTTCACTAACACCACTCAACATTTACTAAAGGCTTTCCTTTGGTACGTTCCATAGTACACGACTATGCCAAGTCCCAAGAATGCAGAGCTGATTAAAGAAAGGCTTCTGCTTTCAAAGAACCTTCAGTCCCATGGGGAACTTAAACATCAACCTGACCCTGAAAAGAGCGATATGCTATTATTAAAGCATAAGAAAGGTCCTCTTCTCCTATCTCCCTTATATTTACTCGGATTACATCCTGCTCATTCTTTTGGGAATCTAACTGTAAACTTTGTCATTCTGGCTCCCAAATGATCAATAACGTCTTTAAAGGCCAGCTCTCTTTTCTCTCCGACCCTGAGTTTTGCTCGGCCAGGTACAGTGACAATATGAGACTCCCTCTTTTCCAGCTACTGCTCAATGTAGAGCTTGTTTAAGAACCAAGGGGAAGTTGGGGATCCCTGGGTGGCTCAGCGGTTTGGCGCCTGCCCTCGGCCCGGGGCGTGACCCTGGAGTCCCGGGATCGAGTCCCACATGGGGCTCCCTGCGTGGAGCCTGCTTCTCTCTATATATATCTTTCATGAATAAATGAATAAAATCTTAAAAAAAAAAAAAAAAAAACCAAGGGGAAGAGAGCCCAGACTCCAAACCATGACTTCTTTCTCCTTTAAAACCTCCCCGCCAGACAGATCCAGAGCAAACTGGAGAGACTTCATCCTCGAGAACTTGCTCGTCCTCGTGGCCTTTACGGGGCTCTCCCCACGCCACCCCTTAGCTTAGTAGCTGGGTCCCGTCAACCTCAAACTCTTCCGTTACTGGTGATGATTTGTACCGTCCAAGCCCACCAAAGACAATTGCAAAGCAGGTATTCCCCTCCACTCTGTGGTCCTCCTCCAGCGCCTAGAGTCCTACCCACGCGGTCCCTACCCACCTGCCGAGACCACCATCCTAAGGCTTTGGATAAACAATACAAACCCCGCGGTGTGGGGGCTGCCATTTTGTTCCCGCAAAGGCCGCTGGGATGGGGACTAGGAGTTAACCAGGGGCAAGGAGAGAGGGCGCATAGGGTGGAGCTAACTCGGGTGTGGAATTTTCCAGGGCGCGCGCCCTCCGCCGAAGTGTGAGCGACGCGAACGCGCACGTGCGCGTTGTGGTGGTGGGGGAGGGGGAGTAGAGAACGGGCTGCGCGCGTGCGCACTAAGAGGCGTTGGGGGGTGGGGTGGGGCGCACGGCGGTCACGAGCCGGAGAGCTCAGGAGCCCGAGCTACGCCTGCGCCTGCGCTTGAGGCGTTCTGGCCGCAAGGAGTTGCTGCATTCTTTTAGGATTGGGATGTTGCTGCACCTTGCTTGCACTCCCTAAAGAATGAAAAGGTATTGCCCTTCGGAGACAAGTGTTTTTCCCCAGTGCCTACTTTGATCACAGAAAGAACGAAAATGACTAGTTTCTGAGTCTGTATCTGACCTCAGTACGCTGTGTAACATTAAACAGCGGTACTTTTCGCAATCTGAACCCTGTGAAGAAAATTCTTACTGTCGAAGAGATTAACGCCTACTATGTTTATTGAACAAACATAATGACCACTGTGTTTTTGAAGCAAAAGACACATGGACTGAGGAAAACACTTCTTGTTTGTCCTTTTGGGAAAGAGGCACAGGTTTAATTATAACAAGTAATAGTTTATTTTAAAATGTTTACCAGGGGGCCCCCTGGGTGGCTCAGTGGGTTAAAGGTCTGCCTTTGTCTCAGGTCATGATGTCAGGGTCCTGGGACTCAGCCCTACTCCAGGCTCCCTGCTCGGTGAGGAGTCTGCTTCTCCCTCTCTCTCTGCTGTTTCTCCCACTTGTGCTCTCTCATTCTCTCTCTCAGATAAATAAAATCTTTAAAAAAAAATATTTTCCAGGGATCCCTGGGTGGCTCAGCAGGTTTACCACCTGCCTTTGACCCAGGGCGTGATCCTAGAGTCCTGGGATGGAGTCCCACATCAGGCTCCCTGCATGGAGCCTGCTTCTCCCTCTGCCTATGTCTCTGCCTCTCTCTGTGTGTGTCTCTAATGAATAAATAAATAAAATCTTAAAAAAAAAAAAAAGTTTTCCAGGTGCCAGGCATTTTCTAAGCATTTGCCGTGTATTAATTCAATCACTCTTCACCACAAACAAGAGTAATAATCTCCTTTTATGTGTGAAGTTGGATCACAGAGAAATTAAGCATGTAATTTATTTAAGGTCACAGGGCTATTAACTGCCAGAACTGGGATTCAAATCCAAGCAGAGTGAATCCAGAAACCATGCTCTAATTACAATGCCCTGCTGCTTCACATTCAGTTGTTAAAGGATTTATGATGTTGGGATCATCCTGGAAAATCCAATGCTGTAATGCTGTAAAGTTTTGCTGAACGGCAAAAACTTTCCACACTTACCTGTAGGTTCTTATCTTATTTTGCCAATTAGTGTTTATTGAGCACTTACCTATGGTATTTTGCAATGAGTTAAGAGCTCATGGTACGCACATACAAGAGCTTACAGGCTGAAATAGGACTGTCACGAAAGTCCAGATAAAATGCTACAGATTATCAAAGGAGAGAAATTACTTTTGGGTTTCCGGATCACCTGTATTGCCTTAAATCTTAGCTCCTCGATTATACTGTAAATTATTCAAGGGTAAGATTGTCTCCATAATTCTAGTCACAGCATTGAACCTGTAGCATGACACATTAATAATGACATGAAATTAGGTGCTATATGGGGGCGCCTGGGTGACTAAGGTCATGATCCCAGCATCCTGGGAGGGAGCCCTGTGTGGGGCTCCCTGCTCAGTGGAGAGTCTTTCTCCCCTCTGCCTCTCCCCCTGCTCATGCTCTTTTCTCTCTCTCTCTCTCTCTCTCTCTCTCTCAAATAATACTTAAAAAGAAACTAGGTGCTATATGTATGTGTTATTTATTTTTATTTTTTAAAGAATTTATTTATTTATTTTTATTTTTTTTTCAATTTACTTATTTATAATAGTCACAGAGAGAGAGAGAGGCAGAGACACAGGCAGAGGGAGAAGCAGGCTCCATGCACCGGGAACCCAATGTGGGATTCGATCCCAAGTCTCCAGGATCGCGCCCTGGGCCAAAGGCAGGCGCCAAACTGCTGTACCACCCAGGGATCCCAAAGAATTTATTTATTAATGAGAGACACAGAGGCAGAGATATAGACACAGGCAGAGGGAGAAGCAGGCTCTATGCAGAGAGCCTGATGTGGAACCCGATCCCAGGCCCCCAGGATCACGCCCTGGGCTAAAGTCAGGCGCTTAACCGCTGAGCCACCCAGGGGTCCCTGTATGTGTTAGTTAAAGAATGTATATTATTGAGCATTTAGATGAAAGATAGCTCATTATTTCTTAACAGATTCTTTTCTATCTAGTCTATGCACTGGAAAATAAAATGTGATTTTTTTTTTTTTACTAGTCTCCCCACTGAAGTGAGGAAACTCCATTTCCATAATGAGTGGCTATTAATACAGAATACTGAGATAGTCTATCCGAGACTATCTCCACCATTGAGGAGGAGAAAATCTTTACATGGTAGCCAATACATCCCAGATCATCTCTGTCTGCCCTCTGATCAATTTCTTTCTTTCTTTTTTTTAATATTCTACTTTTCTCTCTGTTTTTTCTTTTTTTTTTTTTTAAGATTTTATTTTTAAGTAATATCTACACCCAACATGGGGCTTGAACTTACAACCCCAAGATCAAGAGAGTCATGTGCTCTACCAACTGAGCCAGCCAGGGGCCCTTCTGAACAGTTTCTCAAGGAATGCAAACTTGTTCTATATAAGTCTGGATGAAATAATAAGGGAAGTTGAGGTCAATTAATTCATTCTGAGATAAATCATAAGTGGGTTTTTTAAAATAGCAGCTCTTTTGGAAATTTCATATTATCATCCTACTTCATTAACTCCCAGGAAAATTGGAAGCTCTCTGTTGGGGAAGTAACACCAAACACTGAAAAGATACTTCTGAATCCTACAACCCTAGTAATTCACATTTCTGAAAAGGCAAAATAAGAGCAATTAGAGGAAGGAGTAAGGTGAACAGGAGCTCAGTCTTGCAAAAAACAGTCTTGCACATAGCATAGTCTTGCACTCAAATATTTATTTATTCAATAAATGGATGAGTAGAATTCCAGAAGGAATATGATAAGGCAGAGAGCAAAGTTGATTTCCTGTTTCTCCAAATACAGAGAGTTCCTGGAATCCCTTGTTTTCCTATTGAAATTTCTAAATGGAGCCGAAGAGAATGGGATACCCCTTGAGCAGTAGGACGGGTACTTGCATTTTTTTTCTCTTCCCAATGACAGATGACTTCAGAGATTGGAACTTCTGAGATTGTGCCTGGTGACCTACATTCTAGGAGAAACACAGTTGATTTGAACGAAGAAAATCCTTCTGGAGAACTGGAAGATTCTGATTATAATATTTATTGATTATAGTAAACAATGTGATACTTGGATTGAAGCAAGTAATAGGCTTGCCATGTGTTTATATTGTATTTCCCTCTCTTGAATGAAAGCACGAAAAGCAAAATAAGTGAGTGGTTCAAGATAAAGTGACAGAGGAAACCAAGAATTCTTAGTAAGAAATGTTCCCATCTGATCTTTGGCTAGCAATGTTGGCAAAGCTTTTCTGTCACTCCAAGAGTTAACTGTCTATAACTTTCACATAGTGGTTAAGAACACTATTGTGCCTGAATTTACCTCTTAGCTCCACCTTTTTTCCTTACCTATAGAAAGGGGATATTTGGGCAGCCCTGGTGGCGCAGCGGTATAGCGCTGCCTGCAGCCCAGGGTGTGATCCTGGAGACCCAGACCGGTCAGAGTCCCGCATCAGGCTCCCTGCGTGGAGACTGCTTCTCCGTCTGCCTGTGTTTCTGCCTCTCTCATGAATAAATAAATAAAATTAAAAAAAAGAAAGGGGATAATTAAATACCTAAATCACAGAATTGTTGATAACTCATTAAATGAATTAATGTATTTATCCACTCTGGTTAGTTATGGCCGCTGCTTCCAAGCCTCATAATAGTCCTGGAAGGTGTACACAGAGTGTAGCAGAGTCCTGGTAAGTGTAACCACTCTTTGTTCTGGACACAGGTAATATCTCTGCCCCCAGAGTCCACCCCAGTGCAGTGTCCCTAAAGCAAGGATATGAAACAATATGTCCCTAACTTGGATATGAACTGGAAATCCTCAGGAGGCCCTGTGTGTCAGCTCTCTTCCCCTCCGGAGCAGTTTTCACCTCGTTTGAAGCTAAGACCACCCAAATGCAGGTAATTTCCAAGCTCACAAGTGATCCTTTATTTCTGTGCTGCCCAACTTTCTTCTGCTAGCTGTTCTTTTTTTTTTTTTTTAATGATAGTCACAGAGAGAGAGAGAGAGAGAGAGGCAGAGACACAGGCAGAGGGAGAAGTAGGCTCCATGCACCGGGAGCCTGACGTGGGATTCGATCCCGGGTCTCCAGGATCATGCCCTGAGCCAAAGGCAGGCGCCAAACCGCCGCGCCACCCAGGGATCCCTCTGCTAGCTGTTCTTTCTCACCCATCCTTCCATTCATCCCTGCTGCTGAGGACAAAGGCCTTTTCCTTTACCTCTTTTTTTGCCTGCCTCAGACTCCTTATTTCTAAAGGTGTGTTTAGGAAGAGCTATCGCTCATCTGGCTCAGCCAGAAAAGAAGCCCATGTATCCTGCTGTTCAAGCTCAGTCTAGAATTAATCTCTTGCCTCTTCTTGCTTCCCTTTCACCCCAGCTGGCTCAATCGTGCAATAATCCTAAAAGGGAATTTCAGGCTATTTGTGACATGCCCCTTTTCCCACTGCCCTCCCCCTGCCCTGGCCCCATGCCACATTCGAGGAGGAGAGGGCAAAGCCCCTGGATCAGAGTAATCTGTTTCTAACCCACTTCCATTCTCAGGGATTACCTCCGCAGGAGGAGGGAGACAGAAATAACTCAAACACCTTAGCATCGGACACCTGGGGAAGACACTCCAGGAGGGCTGCCCTAAGAGAGCTG